TCATACCACGTCGAATTGGCCGACTAGGATGTCCCCTCGTGTATTTCTACCTATTCGCCCGAGTTTACATTCACCCAAGTTTAAATTCACCCGAGTTTTAATTTACCTGGTTCCATTTCGCATGGTGTTTGTTCGCCCAGTTGTGATTCGACCGGTTTGGTTTCGCCTTTTTTTATTGTCAGGCTTTTCTTCGTCTGGCTTTAATTCGCCCCGCTTGAATCCGCCCGCTTTTAATTCATCCGCTTTCATTCGCCCGGCTGTAAATTCGCCCGGCTTTATTTCGCAAGGTTTTATTTTGTTTGGTTATATGTCGCACGGTTTTAGTTCGCCCGGCTTCAATTCGCCATGTCCCGAGCCCCTTGATTGAAACTCGAAGACACACAAATCGAAATCGGGCGAAATCAAAGCGGATGAAACAACAGCGGGCGAAACAAAAGGTAAACGAAACAAACGCGGATGAACAAAAGCAGACGAAACAACAGGCAGACGAAACAAAAGGCGGAGGAAACAAAAACGGATGAAACAAACGCGGGCAAAAGAAAAGCGGATGAAACACACTCGGGCAAGACAAAAACGTACGAAACAATGCGGACGAAACAGATTGTTGACGATTCGCGTGCCCCACCAGCCCATCCAGAAACGATGCCCAGGGGAGTTGAGGTGATCAGGGAAGTGGGGGCATGAAGAGGTGGGGGAGGGACAGGAGGGGGAAGCTGTCCGAGGTGGGGGAAGCCGTTCGAAGTGGGGGAGGGAGAGAAGGGAGGAGGGAGGAGGAGGAGTAGGCGGATGGAGGAGGAGCAAAAGGAGGAGGAGGCGGAGGAGGAGGAAGAAGGACGAACATGAGAGCCTCCTCCGACGTCTCTCGGGAGTTTTTTTTTCAGACCTCTTGGAACGTCTGGGGGGCATCTTGGGTGCCTCGGGGATCCTCTTGAAGCCTCTTGGAGGCCTCTTGGGAGCCTCTTGGAGGCATCTTGGGCGCTTCTTGGGGCCGTCTGCGCGCCTCTTGGGGCCCTCGTGGGGCGCTCTTGAGTGCCTTGGGAGCGCTCTTCGGGCCAGCTTGGAGAAGATCGACACAAACAGATGGGAGCTCCAATTAGCGTCGCCATTCTAGAGTGCCTAACATCGCCTCTTAAGCCCCTCTTGGGGCACTCTTGGGGCGCTCTGGGGCGCTCTTGGGGCCGTCTTGGGGCTCTCTTGGGCCCCTCTTGGGGCCCTCATGGGACCTCTTTGGAGCGATCTTGAGGCCTCGGAAGGCCATCGAAAGCAAAAAGGCGAGAAGGCACAATTCATTAATTTGTCTTAGGTTTTTGAAGGATGTTGGCCTCCTGGCGGCCTCCTGCGGCCACTCGGAGCCGTCTTGGATGGGTCTTGGAGTTTCTTGGAGCATTTTGGGAGCCATCGTGACGCATCATGGGTCATATTGAGCCATTTTGGAGGTCATCTTGGGCTCTCCAAGGCGCGCGTGGAGCCATCTTTGGCCATCTTGGACGCTCCAACCCCTCGCGGGACCCCCCGCCCAGGTCCAGGGGATGGTGTACAGGGAGGGGTCAAGACACCCCCTAGATAGCAAGCCGTCTAGCTCTTTCCCACCCGCCCTCCCAACACATAAGTAACACCCGAGCCTCAGCATATTCAGCGGTCGTTTTTGGATGGGCAGCTACTGGGGACCAACACCGACCAAATGTGCGCGACGCTGGGGCCAGGTGCGCCACGCTTGCCAGGCGCCCCACGCGCGCCAGGCAACCCTGGGGCCCGAGCGTGCCAGGCACGCCTTGTGCGCCGGATGCGCTACGTGCTCCGCGTGCGCCCGGTGTGCCGCATACTCCAGCCGCGCCAGGTGCGCCACGTCTGGGGCACGCGCAGGGTGTGTCGGGTGCGCCTGCGCACGTGACAGCACACATCGGGAAACATGTCGGCCCCCACCACCCTTGTCGAACAGCAGTGCCCATCATTGTGTCTGGCGGACCTGCGCACGGCAGGCCATACGCCATCACCCCCGCCGTCCCTGTCAAAAACCATTTGACAGTGATCGCGGAGCGTCCGCGCACGATCCAGATTAAGCCGAGAGGTGCATGACTCAAGACTTTGCCCCACAGTGTATTTTGCATTTTTGTTTGACAAGGACGGTGGTGAGGTGGGGGGGGGCGCATCGGGTTGGCCGCGCATGCTCCAAATGTGGAGGCAGAGTGCGTTTTGTATTGTTTTTTGAAATGGATGGTGGGGGGAGCGTATGGTTGTTGGTTGGCCGCCGGTCGCCTGGGGGATAGGGTGTATATCAATAGGGAACATTGGTCTAAAGGGCTGGTGGGATTTATTCCCTCTTGGGGGTCTCTGGGGGCCTCTTTGGGCCCTTCTGGGCTCTCTTGCGAGTTTTGGACCGTTTTGTGTCCATCGTGGAGGCCATCGATCAAAGAAGGGGGAGGGCGGGGGCTAACAGCGTCGCGCCCCCCAGGAGGTCAAACTATGCCCCATACCCTGGGAAACCAAATGATTCGTACCT